TGGTAGTCTGGCTGTCAGAAGGTGGCCCCATTTGGGAAGGAAGCTCGAATTCTCAGTGGGTTCATGAAATACAAGGAATGTACACTAAATTTTAATGTTAATCCTAACTGTAACTCTCATCACAATGAAAATGCACTACTGCTAACTTTCAGGACATTGGAATTCCACTGTTGTCAGAAAACGCCTCACAATTCATTTGTGTTGTTTTTAAATTACGATGCATGAAGCAGCTCTTTATGATGGCATCTACTAGACAGTGCTACATTTCTACACAAACTAAATAAGCTACTGCATAAGAATTATAAATACATTAAATATGCAATAAAATAATAAAAATTGGGAGTCGTGCTATGGAGCCTCTAAAATTTGATTCAGCATGTCTTAATCCAGCCATAGCACCAACGTACACACACTTCATATTCAGAAGTTCATCTTTTGCTTTTCTCCCATCATGGAAGAACACATTCAGTGAGTTTTCTTTTACTGTAATATCTAGAGATGCAAACATTTTCTCTATTGTACTTGCAAGAAAAAGAGGATATATGGAGAAGGCTTTCTTTTCACACTGTGTTCACTTCCATCTCATTCTCAGGCCTTATTACAGCATATTGTGAAGGAAAACCATATCATTTACCTATCTGTAGAATTCCTTCATTTAAGAGCCTTTCTCAACCCCAGGTCAACAGATGTAGTAGGACCACATTTCCAATCATTCCCACACAACATAGATAATAGACCTTATAGCATGGCACTTATAGGAACAGGAATGGAATGGAACGGAAGAGGACAAAAATGCATGTTACTGCACAGGAGAATACCACTGATACCACCAGGAGTCCCCAAGCTGTTCCCCAGCCATTCCTGGCAGCTGATTTTGAAGAACAATTTTGAACCATTCTTCCAAAGTCGGCTGCCAGGAACAGCTGGGAAATGGCTTGGGGACTCCCGGCAGCATCGGTGGCATTCTCCTGTGCAGTAACATGCATTTTTGTCCTCTTCCATTCCTTTCCATTTTCGTCTCTGTAAGTGCCATGCAATAAGGTCTAAAGACTAGTGATAAGGGAGTTATAGTCCAACAACATTTTTGTTTCTTTGTTACATTTACCTCAATTCCTCAAGGAGTTCAAGGCAGCCAAATTAATCATTTGTTATTTATTTGAAGTGCTTCCATATTGATTGATATAATAATATTCTTCTGTGATTTATATTAAATGTATATGTAATACCTATTCCAGATCCATATGTAATACAGCATGCGATGCCAGGAAATTTACGTGGTGTTGACTTGGTTGATATTAATGATTCTGCTTATGATTGGAAAGAAACAGAACTGAGTGGTAGTGCCTAAAATCCTATTTAAAAATTCCATACCAATTTCCAATTAGGTCAAAATGGACCTAAAATGTTTTAATTAGAGTATAGATCAAAACACTTTTAAAACAATTTAAAAATAATAACTAAAAACACTCCAATGAACTAATTATGTTTTCAATAGGCAAGTAAAACATGAAGCCTTTTCTGGTTCCTGAAACACATGGAGATAGTGTAGGTGCCACCATTCAGAAGGCTCACCTTCATAAAGTTAGCTAATGGCATGCTACTGGTTGTGGAACAATCAATAAGATTTTCATTGAGGATCTCAGGAGTTGACTGAACATGTCTAGGGGAAAGTGATCTGCCAGGTAGGAAATGACATTATAAAGTTTCTCAATGTATAGTCTTAAGTATCTCAAATTGTTGTTGGGCTGCAACTTCCCTCATTCCACATCAGTGGTTATATTGGGTAGCACTAATGGGACATGGTTTTCAACCCTGAACTACACTGAGGGTGCATCTACACTGTGGAAATAATGCAGTTTCACACCACTTTAAGTGCTGTAGCTCCATCGTGTAGAATCCTGGGATTTGTTCTTTCACAAGGTCTTTTGCCTTCTCTGCTAAAGAGAGCTGGTGCCTCACAAAACCACAAGTCCCAGGATTCTGTAGGTTGGAGCCATGGCAATTAAAGCGGTGTCAAACTGCATTATTTCTACATTATAGATGCATCCTGAGATACCAAATTACCGGGCCCATTTGTATAAGAATGTTCAGTTTTCTAATCCAGACTTCCTATCCTGCTGCCCTCCAGATGTCTCGTACAACTTCCATCCATCCTGCTTGGGATGATGAGAGCTGTAGCCCAAATTATCTAGAAGACACAATGTTGGAGAAGGCTATCCTAGTTCAAACCTCTGTCGAACTCATGTGCCAGTGTGCAATTTGAGTGGGTGGCCATGCTTTACCTTTGGAATTTGTGCAGTATTGCACACAGTTCTCTTGCTCTGATCAGATTACAAACCGAATGCTGAGATTATTAAACCACAGCTATCAGACATTCATACACGCAAGTGGACAAGCAGAATCCCCACCCTTAGGAAACATTTGCCTTTGGGCACCTGAGTCCACAGGGCAGTGATAACTTTCAGCTCTCTCTTGCTGCCTGGAGTACACAATCTTAGTCACACTCTGCGTGAGATTTTCCTATGGATAA